GAATGCCTGGGGCATCCTGCGCTGCGTGATCGACATCTGTCGCAAACTGGAGGAGGGCAAATACCTCATTCTCAAAGACCCTAATAAGGCAAGGAGGAAGCTGTGCTGGGTTTCAAGTCTCAGAATTGAGATATTTGATGTACTGCAACAAAGCAGGAAGCACCAAATGTCTATTGAGGAGTAATTTTCTCTTATTTGTATATAAAACCCATCTAAACATTCTTTAATATGAACACACCTTGAGTAGAAATCAAATACACTGCATGGTATCAGTGGTGTTAATTTTAGTTGCAATACTATGCCAGTAGGAATCACCTTGTTACCTCTGTTTCTGATGCACTTTTAATTTCCCCCAACAGATGAAGACAATTAAGGTGTCATTAACTACCACAGATGCCGGTATTATGTGTTTCTGTGCTGTCAGAGCTGAATAAAGATAATTGATTATTCATTCACTGTGGTGACGTCTCTGTCTGTTTAATAATGAGCACATTCAGGCTTGACTGCCTTTCCTATTTTAATCATTGTAGATTAGGTTCTGAAGCTTGAGAGCAATATGAATGGCTCTTCTTTGAAACACTTGTGCTGATAAATCTGGATGTTTAATCTTAATTGTTAAAATATTGTGTTAGAAATGCCAAGGGCCATGGGTTTGATTCCCAGGGCACAAACATACTGATGAAATGTATATGTTAAAGTGTCTTTAAAATGCATAATGAGTTCTCACCTAGGCTGCATTTATTTGATCAAAAACACAAAAAACATTGTGGAATATTACAACTTAAAATAACTTCTATTTGACTATTTATGCAATTTATTATTGATTGCAAAGCTGAATTTTCAGCATCATTTCTCCACTCTTCAGTGTCACATGATCATTCAGAAATAATTCTAATATGATGACTTGATGCTCAATAAACACTACTTATCAGTATTGAAAGCGGCTGTGCTACTTAAAGGGATCGTTCACCCAAAAATGAAAATTCTGTCATTAATTACTCACCCTCATGTCATTCCAAACCCATAAGACCTTCATCTTCGGAACACAAATTGGGATATTTTTGATGGAATCTGAGAGCTGTCTGACCCTGCATAGACCACAATGTAACTAATGTTCCCAGGTTCAGAAACATACCAAAGACATTGGTAAAATAGTCCATGTGACATCAGTGCTACGAGAATACTTTTTGTGTGCAAAGAAAACAATAATTGAAACATAATTTATTAAACAATTCTTCTCCCCGATTTACTGTCTTCCACCATTTTAGAGAGTACCCCAGAACGTAATCAATGTAGTTTATGTTCAGTAGACAGCGCGCGCATGCTGAACGTAAACAACGCGAAAGGTAGCAACGTTCCTTGCTACCTTTCTGGACCTGAGAACATTGCAGTTGTATTGCTGACTATGCCGGGTCAGACAGCTCTCAAGATTCCATCAAA